TCTAATAATAATAACACTGATGGACAATAAAATGATAACTCTGCACCGGATGCAAAGAGAGAGAGAGAGGTATTAAGAAACAAATTACATGAACTGTGGACATTTTTGAGTACAGAAAATAACTGTCCAATAAGTACTAAACTGTAACCTAATGAAAATTGATAGTTATCACTCACTATAAAACTTTAAAGGACATTTTGAATACTTTTATTTTGATTTTTAAATGACGATGATGTTGTTGTTGTTGTAAAGAGAGAAAATAACAAAACAATATATAAGATTCATAGTTCGAGTTATCTTTAGACATAATTATTAAAAATCAAACGAAACATTACAGGATGAACTTAAACTATGAATGAATGGTTATCACGTTTTTACAACACTGGTTGAACATATCAAGTTTTGTAGGCGAACGACTAACCATCGGACCACTGAGCCGGTGTCTAACGGTGTTCATGTCTAACTTGATCAATTCACGGAGTTGTGCAACCTCATACACAGTCTTCGGTAGTTACTGTCTACACCCGAACAGGCTGAACTTCACTGGTCACGTCTTCCCACAAGAACTCAGAGAAGATTCCTCACGAAGCTAGTCACTAGTGAGCACAGGTAATTTGCATTACGGGGTTGTGAAGATTGTTAAGTTACACACTTTTGAAACCATGAATCGATCAATGTTAGACCACCATTAGAAACCTGGAAGCACTGGACGGTCGTTTCGTCCTAGTATGGGACTCCTCAGCAGTGCGCATCCAAGTTTTACATACAAGAACAAGAAATGAAGAAATCCCTAACCAGTATACCATCAGAAGTCTTATGGTTTCATTTACATATAATTCATCAACAATTACAGTCTCCAATGATTTTTAATATTATAGAAATGTCTAGCAAGAGAGCTTAGGTGAATGGTCATGGAACTTCAATAATTATGCATATTTGTGAATACGATAAATGGTATATTTTAATTAATTTAACAAAAATTGACCGAACTAAAATTTGCGTTAAATATTGGTACAAGATAATGAGAGCTTATAATATACGACTGTTTATATCATTGACAGCATCTGATATTGGAGAACAATGAGATTTTGTGTGTACTGGACAATAAACTCCACGTTGTATGAAGGCGTTTACGACGCAATCCATCAGCCCAAACTACAATATTTTCAGAGGAATTTAAACCCATGACAGCTTCTTTAAAATTCAAGTGCCTAAACTAGTTAGTTATAGCTGAACTGAAAGGTTAGTAAAGTTAAATCAAATGAATCTCAAGAACTGAGGAGGAATAATAACTTCCCTAACCGAATTCCGATTCAGTCAGCATCATACTTTTAAACACGAAACACGGTCACAAAATAAAGTAACCCACAAGAAAATTTAGGCAGATTTGAGGTGCGCGTTCAAGTTTGATAATATCATCTGAATAAAAATACTTTTTAAAACCAGAATACAAAAGACTCGAAAACATTTCAATGAAAGTAAATTTTTATTATATTACTCAGGAGGAACATATTTGATAGCTTTTTTAGAGGCTTTTGGAAGACCTATCATCTCACTATCATAGTACACATTGAAACAATGACGACCACGGTCTTCATACACGTGAGTTCCATCTGGTTCAATTCGTATAGGTAATAATCCTGGATGAGGTCAAGAATTTTAAAAAGAAATATTTCTTATCACAGTACAAATGGTTCTTTAATAAGCTTAAATAAAATCCAGTAATTTAGTAACCTAGAATAGTATCAGGTAATATTTGTGAACCTCTTTACTAGTCTAAACTAATCTTGAATTGTAAATTAGGAACTCATTAATAGAGAACTCCGAAATTCCCGTTGGAATAAGGAAATATAGCTTTAATACAATCAGTATATATGGTTTTACGTGAAATTAGAAATAGTTTGGTGAATTTTATGTAGTGAGTGAAATTTATGTCCACAATAAATCAAGTACGGAAAAATATTCCGTGCAACAGCTATTGAAATCTTCCAAACACTGAAGTGGATCAGTGGAACCTGAAACCCGTTGACTGAAAGCCAAGTACTTACATCACTTGGTTGAAAATTCATACTGCCAGAGAAACTACCGTATTATACTAACAGTACGGAAAATAAAACGGGATTCATCATTTTCAAATATAAGTAGTATGAGTTTACGCAGTTGACTTTGAAGTTATGTGAGAGTCAGTAATACCACCAGACTGCTTACAATAAACTTAATTTGAACCTGCATTCTAGTTGACAACCAAGTACAGTAACCACTGCGGCAATACTGTATGTACTGAAACGTATTCTGTCAGATAATATGCTCACGACCACAGATAAAAAAACAATGTTCTAGTTACTAAGAAGTTACCAGCATGAAAATCATACATTGCGAACTGTTAATGAGTCTAAAATTAACTTACCAGCTTTCCTTGCACGTTCAATCATTAGTTCCAAATGGGATTGTGACCGACGGCTTATACCAGAAATATGTCTAGGAAGAACAGTTCCATCAGGTCTTAAAAATTGTGATAATATTCGAACATCCTACGGAGGAAATTAGGGGATAAGAGAGAAGCTTACTGTGTGACGAATATTTAAACCCAGTCGACTAATCGGATCTTTATCTCTAGGGTCGCCAAAACCGTCCAAACATATAACTTTGCCTTCACGTTCTGACGGTACAAGTACTCCTTCAACCTGTTTAACAGTACCCATTTACAAAAAGCATGTTAGCTTACCGTTGTTACGTTTTTATCTACCGTATACCTAACTAAGTGTTCATACGATAGATAAAGTTTGTACGAAAATAACTAACCTTCTTTTTTGTTTCTAACAAGAGAAGTTGTGAGAAATCTACGCAATACAAATGAGCGAAATTCATTTGAATACAACTGGAAAGCCATTACTAAAGATGACTCGCTAGTTAGTAGTACAAGCGGACTGGAAGTTCAAACTGGTTGGTAAAGCTCTGTTAACAAAGTTCCATTCCCTACAACCGAAAGATTAGTAACACTTACGCATATTTTAGTTTTCAAAATAAAGTTAGACATAAAGACATATATATATTAGCAAAGCGAACAAGGAAAATTTATTTGCGCTATTTGTTGATATTTACTAGTTATTTGGTGACAACCGCTGATTAACATAGAGGATGGGAACTACATGATTAGCCTAAACCACGCTGTGACTATATCAATAGTGATCATGAAGATGAACACAATTAACACCAATGCTCCAGTTTATTAGAATAATCTTTAGGTTAAAATCCTGTTTTGATCACGAATGCAAGTTGCCTTGTAGTTAGTGCAAGTTTATGTGAGCCAAAAAGTGACTAGTGTATGTATTTGGATTTAAAAATCAGACTTGTCTGCACATCTGTGTAAGTAGTGTGAGATATGTTTTACTTAAGACAATAGGTAGGAAAAAACCCAACGCCCACAACTGCGCAAGCATGCTTTTGTACGGATGATGTTTGGTAAACTATGAGCTCTATCAAAAAGTGGCGCATGTGACTGAAAACAAGGATTACATTAATGAACGCGGTGTGAAGCGCAACTTTGCACGGAAAATAGCCAAATATGAAAAAGGATGGTGTAAGTAACAAGCATAAGCGTATTTAAAGAACAAAAATGATAGACTATTAAATATTCATGACTGAGAAATATGAAAGTTACAAATAATACGGTAACATTAGCTGGAGGTAAAATGTATCGAAGCTAATATCCAATACCCATGTGGTGAGACAGTATAAAGGAATTTTTCCCTTTGTGGCAACCTTATTATATTAAGGTATAGTTTCAGACAGTCAGTCACACACAATGCAGCTCAGGTTGCCATACTTTGATAACAGAGCGAGTAAGAATTGATGAAGAGATGTGATAAGAGACAATGTGGTATGCTGCGTCACTAATAAAAATAAATGAGAGTAATGGGTAAAGTACGAGAGTGGGTGAATATAATATAACAAAGGCGAAACGTATTAGTATTCAAGTGCATATATTTAGCCTGTTTCAGGCTAAGGACAGTAGAAAAATGAACACATAAACGGTCGATATATGAAATCTATGACCAATACAGTTTCTACATTGCTGATTCCTATGTAAATACCGGTGGCCAGAAGAAAGCTAACCTTACGGGAAAACCCAATCTAAAATGTGATCGAACTCAAATAGCGCACACCCTCAAGGACACTGAACGTAGTGCACATAAACGATAGTCACAAAACCACTAATCAGAAGGCCGCGGGTTTATTTCAGTTCATTCCTAGTATATTTGTGTGCATTTTTCATTTTTCGGCTTCACTTAATGTACTTACCATATAGGACCCGTCAAATATCTAAACCCCAATCCCACTGAGATGGTGGAGGCCGACGGTATATGATCACTGGCACGCTGTAAGAGACATCATCTGTCCTACAAATTTTACCTCAGGCACATCAAAAACCTAGAAAAAGAAGAAAATAGGTAAAGCAAGGCAGTGAAGTGATAGGAGACATTGACAGAATACCCTAGCAGCCAAAATACAAGCAAACATTAAGCAACTGTTTAGGTTCAAGACTACAGGAAAACCTACGAGTTAGGGTTTGTGTTCCCTCAAAGTTCCGAATGGAGAAGATCTCACCAACCTAGAGATGGCTGAGATCTTCAACACAAAATTCACCAATCAGTTAAACCAGGCATCCACACGTTCAGAGTACTACGCAAAGCCAATGCCAGCTGATGGCTTAAGGAATATCCGTATTACTCCTTACTTGGTACTAAGAAAACCAAAGTGCTTACTCCCAACAAAGTCACCATGTTGTGACAACATTCGCCCCATAGTCTTGAAACAATGTCCAGAAGCCCTCTGTTCACAGATAAATGACCTCTTCACGCATTCCTGGAGTCACACTAACTCCCATCTGAATGGGAACAGGATACTCCCCCTCTAATCTTCGAAGGAGGAGATAGGAAGGACCCAGCCTATTACAGACCAGTCGCATTACTACCAATACTAACAAAGTTAATAAGTGGGTTGTTGAACGAATAAATGACTGAGGAAATGAACTGGAGCATCATTCTCCATGAGGCTGAACACGAGGTCAGGTGCATCAGATCTTCTCATAGCATGGGACAATTAGACATCCTGCTTGGACCGGAAAGTACCGGTACACATGATGTTTCTTCACTTCAAAAAAGCATTCAGGACTGTATAACTCGCACAGCTAATGGCGAAGTTTGTTGAAAAGAGGCCTCACTGACCCACTCCGATCTTGGCTCAAAAACTAATGATGATAGAAAGTTTCGTACCAAGGTAAATAGAGTGCACGCGAGTTGAGGAGTCTGATCATCCGGAGTTTCACAGGTGATCATTTGAAGTTCACTTCTCTTCCCGATATTCATTAACCACCTGACATACAAAGTTGGCTCCGCGGCATTGATCTACGCAGACGATACAAAGACCTGGAGGTCCACCAAATGCGAAGACGGTTCGCTGAGCCCCAAAAGGACCTTACATATATTGAGGAATGGCTAGTTAGAAACAGAAAAAACCTGATTCAGCTGAAGCACCACATTACGAATATAATGCACACACGTGTAGTAGTACCTATCAAACATGCCACTTCGCGGGATAACAAATGTTAATCCCGATACTCTTTTCAGAATTAAGTTTATTTTTCAGCAATTGTGTTTTCTTCGTAAAAGTATACCACTACAAACATGTCGCAAACGAATTAGAGCTTCAATGGAATTTGGCTCACTATTGCCACCTCAGAGCGCGAACTTAGACTAATAACTATAGTAAGCTTAGACATCAATTTGAACAACATGTGAGACGCAACCAAGGCTAACACAACTCTTCACTCTATGAGAAAACAACTTTATGCTATCACCCCGTAGTTGTTCTTAACCTTGTTCAAGACATCTGCACGCCCACATTACGAGGTTCATAACGTCGTAGCACCCCCTCTCCTTAGGAGAGACATAGATCTCTTGGACCAAGAGCAGAGACGAGCAAGGAAATGGATGACAGGGTTGAAAAATAAGTTGTACGAAGACTGACACCGGCACATGGGATTATTATCTTTGAGCTACAGGAGATTAGAAGGTGATCCTATGATGGCTTACAACATATTAGGCACACTAAATGATCCCAACATGAGCATCCCTCGAGGTGATTCTCGAAAAATTGCTCATCAAAGAGCGAATGCTCAGGTTTTTGGACATTTTTTCTCATTTACAGTCCCGGCAACTTCGAATGCTCTCCCAGTTAAGGTGAACACAGTCATCTCAGTGAACAGATTGAAGAAGAGGCTTGACGGACGTGTACTCACCTACGGATTATCATCTCGTTCGTGGACCGTATGTGCCTGATATATGTCTTGAGACATGATAGTTGTTATTATTTCCATCTCCTCACAAACAACTGCTAACTGACTAGAACCAGGCAGTCGGGCTGCTAGAATACCATTCACTGAAGCTTATAAAACACGTGTGATCGTACAGAAAGCACAATTTTCTGATACTAGCTCATGAGAATGACATTGGATATTGGATATAAAGAGGTCGTTTCTAAACCTCGTATATCGGTGGTTGAAGTCCTTCAAGGTCGCCTCAGTGTAGCTCAAAGTACTAACTTCAAATAATCGTTCATCTGATATGTGTTTACAATTGTTTTTCGTGCATATTACTCATCACTGAGTTCAAATGATCGCTAATAACTCCAAAAGCATTCACAGTGACTCGTTATTTAACGAAAATTTCGATCCAGACGAGTTGGAAAAACGATATGTTCATCAAGTAGGCTCACTCGAAAGTTGTGTTAATATGTTAAATAATAAAGTGTTCTTAAATAATATGCTTAACAGTATTTTGTTTTCGTTGCAAAAGTTTTACGCTCGAAGACTGTACAATATGTTTCACTGTTCTTTTTTATGCGAAGTATGAACTAGCGAACTTCTCATTATCTTTCACAATCATTAAATCTGTTTGAGCGATAATGTCTAATCGAGGTTGTGAAATTCAGATGCAAATGTTTTTTTGCTTCTGCAAACTCCAGTTTTCAAGCCTTTTTCTTCACGCAGAATGAGTGGCGGATCTGAATATGATGATCCTCTCAGGTGGTGTTACATTGATACGGAATTCGATAAGAATATTAGCGCCCTAATAATTGTAGAAGCATTAATCTCAGTAATTTATCATTTGATATCGAAGACTACTAACAAGATATTTTCTGCTAAGTGTGTCTTTTGTGATCCCAGTTGTTTAAAGCATTAGGGTGCTAGTTTTTGCTTGCCTCCTGTTGGAAGATTGCACTTATCGCTATGCTTTTGAGCCTTTGTGTGATTTATTCTTAAATATGTTAAACGCCTCGGTTGCTTTCTTTCCTATTGTTTATAATCGGTGAACAAGCTTATAAATCTAATACTGAGTGATCTCAATATTAACGATGCAATGGTACCAGTCTTCTCTATCTTTAGGCCCCCGAACTCCCTGATATGGTCGAGGGTAGAAAGAGTCCGTCCCCCCTCTCGATGTTTCTTCATATGGCCCAGGGGTGCGTAGCTACTGCCGGAGAAGTTTCAATCACTGGCAATAGTGTTTTCGAAATCAAGAGAACGATGAGTGAAGGTTAAGTGCTTAAACTGTGTTGATGGGTATCGAGAATCCGCTTAGAGATGTAGGAAAACCCTTATCGCAAACCATTAGTGTACATGAACTCCAAAATTCTAAAGGAATAAACGGGGTTTGAATCTTTACTTGGTCACCAACTACCAGGGGACTGCGTTTCCTGATGTTGCTCTATTGCCTTATGGATTAGACCTTTGGGTCAAAGGTTTGGACAGTGACCACTGAAGAAACTACTTGCCTCGATTTGTGTGTTCGGACCGTATCTCAGTCCGTACATAAATTCATTGATTTGTGTGGTGCTTAAACATGAAGGTAGCCCTTTGTATCAATGTTTACCTGTTTAACCATCTAATTAAGATAAAATCTTTGACATGTTTATTTTTAGCTTCGCTAACCATATCGTTAGTTCAGTCAGTGCCATTGCAAGTTGGCTTCATAAGCTAACCTGGTTTATGTCTGCGTGATAACTAAAATGATTGGTTGGAGATTTTGAGTGACATTGATCATAATCGTCAGCACTAGCGCAAGTGCATCTACATTTTATCTTCTCTTACGTCATGAGTCCCGAAATATTCGTATGTTTTTTATACCTAGTCTTGTCTGCGACTACTGATATTACTGATACATGTACTACTCTGGGATTTGCTTTCATAATTTTGTGTGTTACTGTGGCGTAGCTAAACATGGTTAGCATGTCAAAAATTATTTCAAACTAACAACAATCACTCTATCCGCTCTTCCATCTTTAATTTAATATGTTGAGAAGTGTTTAAAAATACTCTACCACTGCCGCTGTATAAAGCTAGGAGGTATCTCGTTTACGAAACCGGCATTCATAAAACAATCCAGGGCAAATCCAAAAGAGCAAGAAAATAATATTTTTCAGTTTAATTTTCTGTGACCACATAAGAGTCATCGCAGAATCACAATCAGAATTTGTTTTTCGTGCGTACCTTTATACCTTTGGCTGTCTCATGTATTTTGCCATATATTGTGAACCATATTTTTGTTGTCCTTCGAACACAAAGAGGACTTTTCGATTCACTTCATTTAATCGTTTTACTTACCTTCATCTTTCGATCTGTTATCCGCATAGGTATATGATGTGATAGCTTCTGAGTTCAGTTCTACTCGTCATTCACCTTGGCCTAGTGTTATGAAATTCATTGAAGCACAATCACCAGATAGCCTTGGTGCTGACATAGGTTGTGGGAATGGAAAGTATCTTACTGCAACATCAAAAAATCATGCTAATATAGGAGCTAACTCTTCAACTAATGTTAAAAGCAAGAGTGTAGCTGCTGTTTCTAATTTCATTCCTATCGCTGCTATGGAGAGAAGCCCAAAATTAGCAGAGATTGTATATAGTAGAGGTAAGCTGTTTTCCCTAACCTATTTTTCTAAGCATCAGTCTATTGTCCGATAGTAAAGGTTCCACTTAACATTACTTAATTGCTCCTGTTATCCTTGATGGAGCATAGGCCGTCGACCAGTATTCTCCAACCTACTCTGTCCTGTATCTTTCTTTCCAGTTCTGTCCAATTTTCGTTTGTTCCTCTCATGTCTGTCTCCGTTTCTCGGAGTAATGTGTATTTTGGTCTTGCTCTTTTTCTTCGACCTTGAGGGTTCCAAGTGAGGGTTTGTCTTGTGGTGCAGTTAGGTGCTTTCCTCAATCTGTGTCCTGTCCATTTAACATGGATGTTATGAATACTTTAAAGGATAGTTTATAATGGTATAGTTCATAAAATTTAAACCTAAAGCAATGATTTAATGTCTTTTAGCCTTAAGATCCTATGTCTGAGCTCGACTACACCTGCTTCGGTTGATTCAACCAGGCGATATCACTAACCCTGACATTTAGTGTAACTTATACCTAAGTACCTGATGAGTGAGTTAATTTCAGATTTTTCTGAGAATCGAAAACAGTCAGCTGATGATTCGCCAATGCTGGCTGGTGAAATTTCGCTATCCGTAACGGAAGACTGATCCATTCTTCAAAATCTGATATCTTGGGTGATTTGATGCTAATTTGTGATATTTTTTCCTACAATATTTCGTTAAAGTTGTAAGAAATTGTTTTCTAAAGTGGAGTTTAATAATTTGCTGTAACTTGCACAAGTCATTTAAATCATTAACTGGGTAATTTCAAGGTAACTATCAACAAATGCTACGACTGTTTTCAAAAATTTGTAACATAGCTAAATGCCTTTTTTAAAGGCTTTTATTATATAATCTGAGTATTTAAAAAATCAGTTAGTCATATGCAGTATGGGAAGTAAGTCATTTTTCTACCGGTCCAGGTTGACACATTACACCGTTAGGACGAGATCTCAGTAGTGGAAGTAGTAAAAGCACCAGTTGTAGTAAGAAAGGCTAGGCATATTAAAATATGATCGGAAATGAAAATACAAATTGGTGGACTAAATGTGTAGAATAGCTTAGAAATTCAAAATTTAAGGGAAGATAAAGAATAAATGGCTCTGTGACATTGCGACAGATTCTGAAGCATATCGAACTGTTAGTTACGATAGGTTTGCTAAATACCACTAGGGAGTCTGCACCTACCTACATGACTCACTTCAGTAGCCAATGAACTTATGTTCTTCCTCCCCTAACTTCAAACCTACTACTACACCGGCGAACCTCCTACATCCAGTGTTTCTGAAAATCAAAGCAGAATTTATGTTATGATGTTAACTATGACTCGATTTATCGATACTGATACCATTCTGCTCTAAACACTACATTTATTAGTATAAAGGACGTACATACTTTAGAAAATTAATTTGTGTTTATATAAACTGACATAACGAGGACGACCAATCTGTCCAACATCGTATTTCTTCCAGTTGTATCGTTGGGCTTTTTTCCCATTTCTCCGTACAGTAGTTGTGTGACACAATAATTATGCTGTAAACCTGTCATCAATTCATCTTAATCGTTTGACCATGTTTTTTCCTCGTTCTTATCTATATTCGATTTGTTCGTTTCGTCCTCTTCAAACTCCAGGTTTTGATGTAGTCATTGGTGACATACTACGAATACCTTATTGTTCCGAACGTTTTGATTTTTTCCTATGCATAGCTGTTATTCATCATTTATCTACTCTGCCTAGGCGCATAGAAGCAGTAAACGAATTGGCTCGTATTCTACGTGTTGGAGGTAAAGGATTAATACAAGTAATTTGCAGTTAACATATTAACATGTTGAATTAATACATAAAAATTTTGTTTTACATCAAAGTTGTCGCTATTTCTGGCAACACAATTGCATCATTTCCGCCCATATTGTTCCGAACATTCTTGGAAATCTTTAAAAGCTAAGCT